TGTTTGGCTGGAAACCACAGGTGTGGGTTCAATTCCAGACCTGAAGGGCAGCTAGGGGCCATAGTCTCGATGCTAGATATTTTTGTATTCCTATAAATCCTCTTGAACTTTGTTTGGGATACAATTTCCTTGGAAACACTTTGATTTTTTTGTGTCTTGGTTTTGTGATTTGTTAGGTAATTCAAGAACAGTGCTAAATCTAGGACAAGTTACTAAGGCAAGACTTTTCTGAGTACTCTACCCAATGCTCTATGTTGCTGTTGTTTTTGTTAGGTACTGTTGAGTCGGCTCCAACTCCTAGCAACCCTATGTACAACAGAACAAAACGCTGGTCCTGTGCCAGTCTCATAATCCTTGCCACACCTGAGCCCACCATTGCAGCCACTATGTCAATCCATCTCATTGAGGGCCTTCCCCTTTTTCATTGACCCTCCACTTTACCAACCATGATATCCTTCTCCAAGGAATGGTCCCTTCTGACAACATGATCAAAGTAGGTCAGACGAAGTCTGGCCATCTTCGCTTCCAAGAAGCATTTCGGCTGCACTTCTTCCCGGATGTATTTGTTAGTTCTTCTGGCAGTCCATGGTACTTTGAGTATTCTTCACCAACACCACAACTCAAAAGCTTAACTCTTCCTTGGTCTTCCTTATTCATTGTCCAGTTCTCACATGTATAAGAGGCAACTGAAAACATCATGTCCTGGGTTAGGCGCACCTTAGTCTTCAAAGAGACATCTTTGAATGCCGCGTGGATTATAAATATTTTCACTCCAGTTGGTGGGAACAGGCATTACTTCCTATCTTATGTGAATGCAAGGTATTGGGAGCTCTGGTAGCGTAGTGCCTAAGGCACGTGCCAGCTAACCAGAAGGCTGGTGGTTCAAACCCACCAGCCACTCCTCGGAAGGAAGATGGGGCAATCTACTTCTGTAGTGATACTGCCTCGGAAACCCAAGGAGGGGTCGCTATGAGTCCGGCCGACTCGGCACATAACAACAACAACAATCCTTTCAGACGGTTTGTTTCTGCAACCTCAGGTAGTTTCTTCACATATATGCTCTAATGAATACCTTGCTAAATACTTAAGGAAAACCCTCTGCAGATCTCCAGGATTTTCTGGAGAATCCTGAGATTCTCTGCCTCAGGTCCCTCTCCCTGTACCAGGACTAGCAACTCTCTGTTAGGGCTTATCTCATCTGTTCTCCATCTCTCAAGAAGCACTGTCTTTCATTACCTGATGTCCACAATATTAAAATCTGGTTTTATGTGTTTTGTCTGTTTGTTTCTTTGTTTGGTTAGTTATAGGCAAGATGGTAAATCCAGACCCTGTTATTCTATCTTGGCTGGAAGTAAAAAGCACAAGAGTGATTTAAATCAATCTATTTTTGTCCCCCTCCCTTTGTTTTGGAAGAGACTGGGTGGTTCAGATGCTAACAATAATAGGGTTATTACTGGCTGCTGCAACAGAAATCTGTTAAGTGATATATGTCAATTAGAAGTCTCATTAAGTAGCAATGCCAGGTGATACTTCAGACTTTTTCTCCTTTCTTAGTTGATCCTCTAGTATTGATTTAGCATTGTATTATAATACATTGAATTACATTTACGCTTTCATTCATGACTTGTATCTTCCATACTCAATTTTTACTACAATAACCCATACATTTATATCATTTAAATATGTGATTGTTATTTGCACTCACCTTGGTGAATAGTATCACTTATTATTTTTTCTTGTTCCTTTAAGAGAAACCTTGACTGGTCAAAGATAACCGTGGCAAATTTCCAGTTAGCAGCAGGGAGAGTACAGGGGCCCACAAGCTTTTGTAAGATAGGGGTAGCTGCTGCTTCTAGGAGACAGTACGCTTGGCACTGGCTATCTGCAACATAAAAACATTCCACGTGTTTTACTAAAAAGCATAGGCTCTTTTTGTGCAAGCCAGTTAAAGCATGTTATTTCATAAAAACCTGAACTTGTATCCAAATTCTTTTCTATGTTAAAATCATGAGATTGCATAGAGGCTTATTTTAGGATATTATTCTAAATAGACTAGTAAAAACAAACCAGAATTAGCATAATTTCCTGGCTATCTTGTTTATAAGAAACTAATTTAGTACCTAATTCAACATGGCAGGTGTGAAGTAAAGAGAATCGCATTTTCTTTTCCTTTTCTCTCTCCATTATTAGCTTAAAACCTTAAGTCAAAGTATAACAGTGACCAATTATTTCTAGTTTTTACCAGAATATTATTATTCAAAGTTTTGCATAGTCATCTAAACCCAATAGTGTTGAGTGGATTCCAACTCATAGTGACCCTATGAACCCTATCCTGAACTCTATAGTGACCCTATAGAGTAGAACTGCCCCATAAGGTTCCCCATGCTGTAATCTTACAGAAGCAGAATACCACATCTTCTTCCTGCAGAGCAGCTGGTGGGTTCAAACTGCTGACATTTTGGTTAGCAACCGAGCACTTAACCACTGTGCCACCACAGCCACTGAGAGAGCATAAATAAACATGAACCAAAAGGTATTTGGACCAAACCAAAAATCAAACCCACTGCCAGTGAGTTGATTCCAACTCACAGTGAACCCCGCTGGGTTTCCAATGCTGTAAATCTTTACGGAAGTAGTTTGCCTCTGGGAGTTTGACCTGTAGACCTTCCTAGTTAGCAGCCAAATGCCTTACCCACTATGCCACCAGAGCGCCTTAGCTATTTGAGAACTAGTGTCATATTTCCTTACTGATTTTAATAATGAGCATGATGTTCTTAAGCAGGCTATTCTTTAGGTGTCAACGAATATTCTTTACAGCAGAACAACATTTTAATCAACATAGGAATCAATAGCAACTTATTTACATGTCCCTGACTGAGGGTAAAGGAATAGAGGGCGGTCACTAGCAGCTCGTTTTCCAGACTGGGAAGAATAGTTGGAGGAGCTGTAGTTCTTTGATGAGCCCAGGGAAGCAGCAGCAGTTTAAATGAAGGAAGAAAGAACACTTAGTAGATGCAAGTAGGGACATGGGGTGGAGCAAAGGCAGTGAACAGCGCATTCTGGTTTGGAAATAACTTGAAAATAGGCATGGAAGGAAGAAATGAAGGCAACTGAGCAAATATATCTGAAACAAGTGAAGAAAATACATGGAAAATGAGGAATGTCCTAGATACCCAGGAAAGGGCTTTCAAATTGAGTAAATCTGAATGTGTTTTAAAAGCATGTAACATACCTGATGCTTGAATTTCAATGATTTTATCTGTTCCTCTTTCCTGATTTATTTTCTCCAGGGTTTTATTAGTACAAACAGTAGAATTTTCTTCTTGAAGAGTCAAAGAATGTTCCTCTTTATCTTGAAATTCTAATAAAATATATTAAGTTGCATAGTTAAAGCTTTACTTAAGTGCTCTCCTCTAAAATATGATCACAATTGCTAAATTCTCCTTTGAAGCACATCAGTATCAAACTGAACAACCACTCATTTTCAATAGACCTAACATTGCTCTAGGAGCTCTGGTAGCATAGTGTGTAAGCCACTTGACTGCTAACCAGAAGGCTGGTGGTTCAAATCCACCAGCCACTCTTCGGAAGGAAGGTTGGGTAATGTACTTCCATAGTGATACTGTCTCGGCAACTCAAGGAGGGGTCACTATGAGTGGGGTCCGAGTCGATGGCACATAACAATAACAACATTGCTCTGGGTAGTAAGCTGAATGGTATAATGGAAAAAACTTTGCCATCAGACCAGTGTTTTAATCTCAGTTCTTACACCAGCCTCAGTTTCCTCATATTTAAAATATGAATATACCTCCTTTAAATATTGCTCTAAGAATTAAGTATATTCTTGATATATAAAACATACACACTATCATACTTCATTTTTCTGTGACTTCCAACATACTCTTTCTATTGTTGGAAATCGTCTCCTTTCCCTGAGCCCTCCCTGTCTCCATCCTTTCTGAAGTACACCAATTTTTCACGCACCCTTTAGCTCTCAGGTGTCTTCTATAGAAGGTTTATGTAACTGCCCACTCTATTTCTAGGCCAGCAAAGTGCCCTTCTTTTTTATTCCTCAGCACTCAGTGCCTACCCTTCTCCTGGCACTTATCACCTTGTACTGAAATCATCTGTCTGCAAGTTTTCTTCCTTCTTTTCCAGGCATTGTGGATCCTCCCCACAATATAGGTATGTAAACAATTTCAAGTTATATTAACTAGATAGTAATGTCATCCTTTAATAATGAGATTAAGGGATAATTTTAGAAGCATTGCTATCTTAAAACATTTTAATATGTGAGCTATAAATACATAGTGAAAAATAGAAAAATGAAGTAAAATATCCTCGTTTGTCATTTCCAAATAATATTTTCAGTCCACTATAAATAATCGGAATAGCTATGAGCAGTTTTTAAGGGGGCTGATAGGTTGTAACATTCTTTCTTGCCCCTGAATCAACTATAAACTAAGACAAGTAAAATATGTGCCAAAATATTACTTCTATTACTTACAAAGGCTAAGTTGGAGAATGAAGCTTAGTTTGAGAGTCAAATGCGCTTGCTAAATATACACCATAATTAGGCCAACGGACCCATCCAGTCATAGACTACGCTGAACTGGGGCAGGAGTCCCCACAGTGGTAGTGGTAGGCCTACTCAGGAAAGACACGTGACATAAAGAAACAGGGAGAATGCTTGTTTTTTGTGGTCATCTTATTTTCACAAGCTTATACCTAATTCCTTCTTTCCAACTTACCATTCAGATAATTTATGCAACCTCTTCTAAGGAAGAGGCTAGAGTGTAATACTAACTGAGGAAACATCAGGACTACAGAAGTATTCCCCTCTAGCACTAATATTCCCTTAATTGTTTAATAAATTAATAGCTGCTTTCCACAAGGAAACATGACTTGTATCTCCTTCTTTGCTGCTTTCCCTCATTCCGTTTGCCAGCGTACTCTATCATGAGCCATTATTGCAAGTATGGCAACCAGAAAAGGATGTCAGAGTCAATTCTGGAGTCGTTTCCTTTTTTAACCCTAAATATGAATAGACTCCAAACAAATCTGAGAATAAAAACAAATCTTTAAAAAATTTCTAAAATTCCTATTCTATATCATATTCATAAGTCTTTGTATTTTGCTCATTCTTTTATGTAGAAATTAAGTTCTGAGTAACAATGCAAATATTGGTTGGTATACAGAGCAGTGAGGGCTAAGTATGCTATGTCTACCACATAAATATTTACATGTGTATTTACTGCATCAGGGTTGTCTGTGTTAAGCTTACACTAGCATACCTATTCCTTACCAGAAGTGAAATGGTATGACACATAAAGCCACCTTTGATGTGGTTATAAGCACTAAATGTAAGACAACTATATACTCAAATAGAAACTCTTTGGTGAGATTGAAAAGAATAATAAGCAACTAAATGGGCAAAAAAGTTCTGTAGGTATATATTAAAATATAAGTTTAAAGACTAAGTTAGGACATAATGACTGCTAAAAAAGAAAACAGAATGGCAGAAAGATCAACAAAAGTTAGAAATACTATGAATTTGTAGGTCTACATTGCAGGAAGCAAGTTTTGTAAGCAGTAGCTTCTGTTACAAACTCAAAGGCACTTTTCAATTGTACAGAAATACAGACCTATATCATCATAATATCATCTTATAAACAAGAATCATGAATCAATGACATTTTCTTTGTGAAAAATAACAAATCTATTTTAAAGTTTTGTTCTTTGCTTTGTATAATAAATTATGCATCTAGTCCTCAACACTATCATATCTATGTCAAAATATTACTGAATTACCCACGTTTTTTTTCATCACTATTTGTGACATCCATCTTTGAGGTGCAAGTCTTATATTTATTTCGCAGCATAATAAAGTCACTTAAAAGGTCCAAATCATTCTCTTGTTTTTCACTGTGTTCAAAAGACACTTTTTCAATTCTTGAAGAAGAGCATGACTCAACAGTTGGTCCTATGCAGTCAAATTCAAAGTCATCTTTACATTCTTTCTTTTGGATTATTCTACAAACTAGCTCTGGATCATTCGTTGGTTTTTCTCCTTCTGCTGATCTTTGCACAGAGACACATTCATCAGGAAAACAAAGATCTGGTGCTTCTCCTGCCAGAGATGGACTCTTTTGTGGAGGTGACAAAGGATCATTTGGAGATTTGTCACTACTACATAAAATAGGTGAAGAGCAACTTTTATCTTCTGGCCATGCTGAAAATAGAAAATAAAAAATATCCAAATGTTTTCTATGGCTAAGTGAATATTAGGATAATTTTTTGTTGTGGTTTCTTATTAATATAATTTGATCCTTAGGAGTACTTTGTTTATAATTTTGAAAATAAATGTTCGGTCTATATATAAAATAAATTTTCAAAAATGACAAAAACTCAGCACTTCTTTTTATTACTATAGGATCTAGGCTACTAAGCAAAGTAAGAATTCCAGAAAAAAAATCTATTTGCCAATAGGTTTGCAATGAGTCATAAGCCTTTGAAATAACAATTACTCCAAGGGTTAAAAACTTATGTACTAGGAAGCCACAGACTGGGAGAAAATACTTACAATACATGCACCTGTCAAAGAACTGTATCCTAAAAATACATAAAGAACTCTTATAACTCCATATAATGAAAGTACCCAATTAAAATATGGGCAAAATTTGAACAATTTTTCTTTTAAGATATACATGTGTGGTGTGACGGATCCCTATTATATGGCCTTTCTCGTGGTCATGGTCTTGTAATTCCTACCAAATGACTGAGTGGGACTTTATTATGCAAATGAGGTGCTTGTGGCATTGGATAGCTTGCTAATAATGCAATTATGGTGTATGTCACCCTTGTTGGGGTGAGACCATGCAAATAATGTGTATGGAAACCTAATGAGGGGATTGGTTAGTTTTACCATCCTGATACGCTTAAAATGAATCATATGAGAGATGAATTGGAGGGACCTCACTACCACCAGGAAGAAGAGATGGGAGCAGAGCATGTCCTCTGACCTGGGGTCCCTGCCCTAAGAGCCTCCTAGGCCTAGGAGACAGAGAGATAGTGATAACAGTGGAGATGGTGCAAGATGGTGGGAAGCAGCAACAGAGAACTGGTGGCAGCAGAACCAAGAGACCAGAGAAAGATGGTAGAGTGGGCTTCCCAGTCCGTGGAGCAAGGCAGTTACAGTGGATGTGCGGATCCACGGGGTGAGAGAACTGAGTACCTCCAGGCAGGAGGCTTTCTGATAGAGAAGGATGCCCCAGCACTTATTGGCAGAGATAAAGAGCTTTGTAACACTTGTCTGGGTAGGGAAGGACCCAGGTTGAGGGCTCGAGAGGCTGAGGGGCAGAGAGAGGCCTGCCTGCGGGAATAGCTGAGATTAGGCTGTCCTGACTGAAGAACTGTATCCTGAATCCTTCTTCATCCTGAATAGCACTGTTACTTCCCTAATAAACTGTGAGTATAGTCTGTGAGTTTTGTGTGGCCACTGTAATGAATTACTGAACCCAACAGAAAAGTAGAGAGTGTAGTGGGAAGGATGGCTGGTGTCAGATTAGGTAAAAAGTTCAGAAAGAGGAAGTATGTCTGACCTCTACTTCATAGGAATCAGCCTCAGGCTACTGATCTTGATCTCCTTCCCCCTTGTTAAATTAGAAGAGATCAGATGCCCCTCACCACCAAGCAGTATCAGATTACCCAATAAGCAAGGTAAGCACAGGCTAGCTTGTGCTTATCTACTAATCTTTAATGAACAATTTCACATTTTTTCACCACATCAAAGATTCTTCTTCTAGGTATAGCTAGCATCTGTCTCTCTCCCAAACTCACAGCACCTTCCTATAGAATCAAAGCCTCTTTTCAAATTTATAATCCCTGACAGGGATGGAGTACCCCATAAGCAAGTTAAGCCTGGACTTACTTGTGCTTACTTACTAATATGTAATGAAATGGCTCGCTACAGATTAGTAAATACAAGTAAGCCCATGTTTACTTTGTTTATTGGGTAATCTGCCCCTGCCACCATGCCATTCTTCACGACATATCTAGCAACCAAAATAATTAAAAAGATACTCAACAGACATGTCTGCCTTCATAAATTGTATAAGTAAACAATGCTCTAAACTTTTTACTAAAAAGAACAATTTTCTATTGTTAAAGGGAGATTACTATATATTATCAAATACTCAAAGTTCAGCTATTGGGTCAGACAAATAACAGTTACAGCAACATGCTGATTTGTGGCCAGGCAGATGTGAACAGAAAACTGGCTAGCAATTAATCATTTGTAAAAGGAAACAAGGCAATTTTAATTGAAAATGGCTAAAAATTTAAAAATAGAGACTGAAGAATTTTAGAAGAGAAAGGAGAATTTTAGAAGAGAATTTTAGTATTAGCTGTCATTTTTTTTTCATTTTTTTAATGGAAGAAAAAGGGGCCTAAAGAGGCCCTAAGTCATAAATTCTGACAGTCAGAGCCAATACTGAATGCCAGAGCTTACTTATATTTCCTCAATCACCTAGTGAAAGGAAACCTGTTATCTAACATTTTTGAGTGTGAAAATGTTCACAAAAATGATTGTTATTATTATGTACTGACATTCTAATTGAAGCAATTTTGTAGGCAAAAAGATCTTTTTAGTATTGTCAGAAGATAATCATGACACAAATCTGTATTTAGATATTCCAAAATTTCTGTCATTATCAGATTTAATCCTGCTTGTTTCCAACAATCTGCCTTTAAAGGACTAAGCATAAAGCTTTCTTCTTCAATAGAAAACATCTTTCTTAAATCTGTAACTGAATATTGACTGTTGGATTTTTGAGTTTTTAGTCTTTAAAAAAAGAACCTCTCCCCTTCACCCTCAGTAAAATAGTCAAAAATAGTTGCCAAAAGGGCATGGGGAAGGCATTGTCTGACTCACTCTAACTTCACCATCAGTACCAACTGCCCAAGGCTTATTCCTATGAGGCAGAAGTCAGACATGCCACCACCCTCTAACCTTTTTACCAATTCTAAACTCAACCATCTTCCCTACTCTCTACTCTGTTGGGTTGGATAATTCATTGCAATGGCCACAGAGAACTCACAGATAATACTTATGATTATGTGGTGTATTAGGGAAGTAACAGTTTACAATATAGGTTTAGGAACTCAGGATATAATTCTTCAATCAGGACAGCCTCTCCTCATCCATGTCCATAGGCACATCTCTCCTTGGCCTTCAGCCCCTCGGCCTGGCCTTTGCTCTGCTCAGGTGTTACAAAGCTCTTTTAGCTCTGCCAAAAGGTGCCCACCAGCACAGTCACTGTACCAAAAAGAATTGGTTGATGTACAACTATTTCAAGAGGTAGCATATGATCAAAACCCAAATGGCACCGAGGGAAGAAGCCCAAGCTGCACTGAAGGCACTGGTGAAAAATAAGTCTCCAGCAACTGAAAGGTTTCAACCAATGGATGCAGCATTAAGGTCATTACTTGTCTATGCCAAGAAATTTGGAAGACAAGTGGCCAATCAACTGGAAGCAATCCATATTTGTGCCCATTCCAGAGAAAGGTGACCCAACGGAATGCAGAAATTATTGAACAATATTGTTAATATCTGTGGTGGTTAAGTGTGTGTGTCAACTTGGCTAAGCCTGGTTGAGTGGCTGGGCAGCTGGATGTAGTATTCCACATGACTATTAGACTGATAATCAACTCCATGGCAGAATCTACTGTGAGCAGCTGAGTAGCTGCCATTGGGTATGCGGTCTGCTTCCCGTATATAAGAAACAGCTTTGGCACTGGTCTCCAGCTTATGGCATGCTTGGACCCTACATGGAGCCATGTCATTGTTCAGCAGCCTGCCATGTTCTGCCAACCCTGGGACTTTCAATGGACTTGAATTAATGTCCTGCCATGTGGTTTGGTACCATCGGGACTGTGCCATTTTATTTGTCAACCTTGGGCTTGTTAGCCTCAGTAGCCAGTAGCTGCCTGAGTGAAGACATATCTCTAGCTTCAGTGGGCTGGAAGCAAGAGGCAGAGCTAAAGTCCAAGGTTGAGGGGCTTCCACATAGCCCCTTGAGCCTGGCACTTTGAACTTGGACTTAAAAGCCTCCAAACTATGACAGAATAAACTCCTGTTTGTTAAGGCCATCCTATTTGTGGTATATTCTTGTCAGAGCGGCACTAGGTAACCAGAACAATATCACACACAAAATTTTGCTGAAGATGACTCAAAAAGGGTTGCAGTGATACACAGACAGGGAACTGTTAGAAATTCAAGCTGGGTTCGGGAGAATTTTTGTAATGAGGGATGTCATTGGTGGAACCCTTGAGACTATGGCCCTTAGACACCCTTCTGCTAGGAATTCAACATAACCCCTGTGGCTCAATAGTCAATGAAACAATAGACAAGCTATAAGGTGAATAGTAATATCAGGAGGGAATACACTGATTATAACAATCAAGCATATGAAATTAAGAGGACAGCATTTGCCCAGGGATAGAGCAAGGAAGGCAGGAGAGGAAGGGAAGAAAGGATGAAGGGAAGGGGTGGGTGTAGGAGGGAAGCGGGAAGAATGCTGTTACAGGGTAGGGATTGCAGCAAATGTCACTAAAGAGAATATGTGTGGATTGTTGAATGAAAACCAATTTGCTCTGTAAACCTTCACCCAAATCACAATAAATTTTTTTTTTTTGCAGTCTGGAAATTAAGACACAAGTTTAATGAACTAGAATTTGTGCAATAAATATTATTAAATGTTTTTTACAAGTAATATATTTTTAAATTAATTCTCACCTCTTTTGAAAAGCTTTTTATTTTCATCTGCATGATTTATTATTTCTGGCATTAAGTTTATTGACTCCTTCAGTTCTGATGATGACGGAATATCAATCTCTTGTTTGAGGGTTGTAGATATTAAGGATTCACAATCAGTTGTCAACATTGATGGCTGAAATAACACATAATTTAAAAAAAAAGATGTTGAGGTTTTTTCTAAAAAAAATTTCTAAATTTATAAATAGATGCATTTGTTTAAATGGCATATCACATTTTAAACTAAACTCATGGTCAAAATTTTTAATGCTATACATTACATACATTTAAAGAACAGAAGTGTAGCTGCCAAAGTTATATTATAAACAATGTTCTCTCTGAGTAATGTTCTTTATGGCCTTTATTACATTATTGATATATAATATCCTTAAATATAGAAATATCTTCTTGTAGGCTAATAGCAAAGTTTTGAAAATTGAAATGAAAATAATCACTGTAGCTGATGAGAGATGATGAATGGGAAAGGGTGAGAAGTGTAGGTAGAACAAAATGGAACTTTACTGCACACTACATGAAGTATGTTTCTCTTTCATTTTTACAAAACTGGGTTCCTCAACAAATGAGATTGTATGTGCACCACTAACTCTCAGAGTTAAAAGGTAGAGAGAATGAAAGAAATAAGTCAATAGGTGAATTGATATTTCTACCATGTATGTTTAAAATATTAAATGTATGGAAACTCTTCAAATGCCTTTAGTTCATTATATACATGTCATTTTCGAGTTTTAAGAAAAACCCCATTTGTGAAGCATTTTAAATTATATCAGAATTCTTTTTAACTAACTTTGTGAATGCATTTAATTTATATTTGAACTCATTTAACTGCAAACAATTATTTGTACTCTTAACTGCTGGAATTCACTGCACAATAACATCATCATCATAATTTTGTGTGCTACTGAAACCATACACTGAAAAAAGAGGGGCTGTGCCATGTGAACTTCAGCCTATATGATCATGAGACCACAAGAACTAGATAGTGCCCGGCTACCACTGTAAACCACTCAGAAAGGGATCAGTGCAGGAGATCCTGGATAGAATGGGAGAGCAATGTAAAACAAAACTCAAAATCTTACAAAAGACCAGGTTTACAGGCGGGGCAAGATGGCGGACTAGGCAGAAGGATTGCACAGACCCTCTTCAACAAAGAAAAGGGAAACCAATTAACACAGACACAGAAGATAATCTT